CTTCCTGTATGGTACACTCTCATTCCCTCCACCTATTTCAGGGACTCCCTGCAATTTCCCCCTGCCTCTCTTACAGTGTGGTGGGGGGAAAGGTTCTATATGGCCTCCCCGGCCCCCACCCCATGCTAAAATCCATCAGCCTCCCTTCATTAGGGATTCTGAGTCCTCCATTTTTCTCTCTTTATACTAGAGTCCTCTACTCTTCCCACAGCAGAGGATCTCTGCATGCCCTAGTCCTATTTTTCCCATAATTTACTTTTTCCTCTTCCCTGAGTCCAGGTTCCCCTTGTTCCCTTCCTGCAAGCCAGGGACTCTGTTCATGCCCATTTCCACTATGCCAGCGTCTTTGTCTATCACCCGTTCCCATCTTTCCCTCCATAAAATGATCTCTCAGTCTGTCCACATGAGAACTGGTATGCCCACCCCATTCTAAAGCCTATCATTCTTTGCACGGAGGGTGGCCTGTGAACCTCACATTACCCATTCTTTTAGGGTTCCCCATTCTCTCCACCTGTAATCCAGGCTCTGTGCATGTCCTCATACTCTCCAAGTGGTCCTTTCCCTCAATCAGGTCCTTCCTGCAATGAACTTTTTGTGAAAATCCATTCCATATATGTTAGGAACAGTGGGGGCTAGGGGTTCTGTGTGCTTCCATACTTTCCTATAACAGGTTCTCACAGTCCCCTTCCAGCCACATGTTCTGTATTTCTCCCATTCCAAGTTGCCTTGATCTCCTGCATGGGGATTTCTGTGTGCCCCCATTCTCCCTATGTCAAGTACAGTGTGTTCATTCCCAGTTCCCTGTTCTCCCAAATGAGGATTCCCCATTTTACCTTCTATGCAAGGACCCATGTTTCCCCCATGCCTCCCCCCTCCCCCTGATTCTTGACCATCTTGTTAGGATGTCACCATGTTCTACTCCACAGGCAATTTTGCGGCTTTGCTAAATACATGGCAGAGACTCCATGTGACCCCATTTATGTTCTGATTTTTGCCAGAATCAATAGGATTTGACTGTTGATTCCTACAACATTACCTGAAATAAGGCAGCATCCTGATTAGGGCCATCATCACAAACTGTGCGATTGCATTGGCCCCCAAAGTCTCTGCTATATTAGCAGCCCTGAAATTGACTTGCAGCCTTCAATTTCAGACTTACTATAATTAGCCTGGTTGTTTCTTAACAATGGGTTAAGAGACGCTAACTGCACAGTAGCCTAATAAAACTGCACAGTAGCATGCCAGGTAAAAACCATTAACTTGGTTAACCAAGTACTAAACTTAATGCTCAGTAACTGCAGTGCACTAATGAACATGTAGACATACCCAGTAAAGGCCTAATACTGTACCTAAACTAGAACCCCTAAAAGATAAACCCCAGCCTCATGCATAAAGCTGAGACAATGCAGCATAACACTGGGCATGTCTACACACACAGTTAATGCACATAAATAAATTGTGGAGCAAATTGCTCTATAGTAAACTGAGCCAGGGAGAAGCAGTTTAGGCCACGGCTGCTCCTGTCCTGGTCTGCTTTCCTGCAGCAGCCAGAGGGGGCTCCATATGCAGCTGCCCAGGTGCCAGCCCCAGGTTGTCAGGGGGGTCTGGGGTCAGCCTCAGGCTTGCAGGGGGCTTTGGGGGCAGTCCTGAGCTGGCAGAGAGCATGGGGGGCCCTGCCCAGGCTCTGGGTAGCTCTTTCAGGAAGCAGAGGAGCTCCCCATGCCATGAGGCTCCTGCAGCTAGCTGCAGTTTACTCCCAGATCAGGGTCTACACATGCACTACTGTGCAGTAAATAACACCACAGCAGGATAGTACTTGTAAATACTTGTGGAGTACTTGTAGTACTTGTGGAGTTAATTAATCTACTCCACCCTAATAGAGGTACACATGAAGATAGATGCGTGACGTTTACTGCACAGCTAATTAGTTTTCTATGCAGTAAAAATATGTGTAGATGCACACACTGCCTACTAGAGGAATGTTACTATACTGCTTCTGGGTCGGTAGGTAAACTCAGAATACCTCTCAAGGAAGAAACAGCATAGTGATGTTCATGTGGCACTACTCTGCAGCTAATTATTTCTGCCTTTCAGCAGTTAAAAGCTGTCAGAGGCACTGCATTTTGGCAGCTACAATGAATAGTATTGGAAATGATATAAACAACTTCCATTTTTAAAGATCTGTGGAGCATCTGGAAGGGCTGCATCCTCAATTTTGCTTCCTTAAGAGTTGAACACTAGATGCACAGTGTTTTAATAATAATTTAGTATACTAAAGAGATCATGAGTTAATTGTATATAAAAAGTATATGACTTGACATGCTACCCCTCATTTTTTCCATATGAAAACATTTCCTTTTCCAGTCAAGAAATAGGCAGAAGCATCTGTTGATTGCTTACAAATGCCTTAAGAACATATAAAGGAGTTCTGTTCAGGTGGTAATGATGACGTCATATTTATAATTGTCTATGCAATGTGTGTGGTCTAGGAATTCGCTTTGTTAATGAGTTCTGCATTGTTTAAGAGGCAACAATCTACTATTGGCTTCAATAGCTCAGTTGGTGACAATGAGAAAAAGTAGATGTTGCCATAGTTGTTTTCTTTTAGTCATAACCTGAGATGATTTTTTTCTGGCTTTTCTCTGCTTCGTCTACTGTGTTTTGCAAACTGTCTCTCCCTTTAGTCAAATTATTTTTTTTTACGGTAGCTTTACATTACACTTTTGAGTAGTTGCTTGCTCTTACATTTATACCATAGGTTATGGAAAAAAACTCTCTTGCATTCTGTAATCTATATCTTTCCAGCAAAATTGGAGATCATCACAATTAAGTATTGATTAAAGGTCTAAACTATGTGGTTTAAAACAAAACCATGTGGCTTAATCCTGCCCCTCTCTCCCACCCATCCCCTGCTGAAAAAATAATTATGGATTAAATTCAAGATAAGTTTATGTTTCCTTGCAAAAAAGTGCTTTGATGGTTGAGATGCATGAGAAGACGTGCTTCTCCATCTTCTGAAGACACCAAGGTGACTTTTATCTTTTATACACAGTCATGTACACATTTATATTAATATATTTACTCCAAATGAATGCCTTAAAAAAACAAGTTTAGATATTTCTAATTTCATTCTTACTCAGCTCTCTCTTGAATTATATCACCAAGTATTTTGTTACTATAAAGTAATACATCTGAAAATGGAAATTAATTTAAAAATTCACATTATAGATTTCTGGTGGTGAAGTAAAAGAATGTATTGTTTATTTAAAAAATATAATTAGGAAGAAAAGAATACCATGCTCTGAAAACAGGGTTGATTTTTGCCATGAACTGCAGAGCTCATTGTGACTTCTGGACAAATTAAAAAAAATATATTATTACTTAAATTAATAGAAACCAAAGTTATATACCTTAGAAAACTTCACAATATAAACAGTAACAATTACATTACTTTTTAGCCTTTGCAGACTAAGATTTTCATTTTCTAATACCACAGTTTTAATGTAAATCACTTCCCAGGAGGTAGATACCATCACAACCAGCTACAGGTTTTGTTTCAGCACTCCTCTTTAATTTACACCATCTGAACACTGGCTATGAAAAACTACTAATTTTATTTGTTTAGAAAAAATGGCTGTTTTTGAAAAGTATATCCACATTTTGAAAATATATAAACTGAATTGATATTATTGGAACTAATGGAAACTAATATTTCAATAGACTTTGGGTTATCACACTTTTGGCACCTATACAGATGCAGTAAAATTTGCTAAGGGTTTCAAATAATTTCAAAATGACACGTGTATATTTTGAAAATCATTTTCAATGTGGAATTAACACAGATTGCTAATATCACTTATCAGGTGTATCCTACACAGATGCTGGACTGACTGTTATTTTTTGTCACTGTATCCACCAATTTCATGGGACCATAACATACAAAGTCAGGGCCTTGCTGCACTTTAGTTAGGATGTATTAACAGCATTTGCAGTGCTAATGTCTGAGTGTTCAAATGCTAAGTGCCATTGTAGTTTAGTAAAATTAGGCCTTTCTGGTAAGAAGCATCTCTAGCTCATATTACCCAACATACGTTGAGCTAATGTCAGACTGCCCCACAGAGGAAATACAATCAGGAGATTCCAGTTCCATGGTGAGGGTGGGAGAGGAGCCTGAGAAAGCTGTTTATCAGGCTCTCATCCTCCTTACCACACTAGAGCCTTGAACACGCAAGGCTCCAGTGCAGTAGGGAGAGGGAACCTGCTAATGTTTGTCAGGTTCCCACCACACCAAAGTCTTGCTGGTTCAAAGTTCTGGTGCAGTAAGGAGGCTGGGACTGGGAGTGCTACCGGCACAGCATGGGAGCCAGTCCCTGGCACCACACTGCATGGGTGCCATGCCAGTGTTACTCCCAGCCTTGCACCACACCAGAGTCTTGAATCTGCTCCAGTGTGATTCCAGGGCTGAGACTGAAAATCAGCTGATTTTCCGTCTTGGCTTTGGGATCATACCAGAGCCAGTTCAAGACTCCTGTGTGGTACTATGATCTGTATTTAGATGGTAATAAGCATTAATGAGCCACTCCTCTGAATACTTTCTAAGTCATGTTAATGCTTACTACAATCTAAATATAACACATGCTAAATTTAACATATAACAAGGACCTGCAAGAATCAGCCTGTCCTCATCATAGCATCAAGCCTCTTAAGTGGTGTTTTGCTGTCCTCTCTGCAAAGTTGTGTTTTTCATACCAAAAGGTACCCTCAAGCCAAAATAAAGTTTCTGGATTTTAAATATGCATTCAAATGTGTTGAGTTGTTAAAATAAAAATGATGGAAATTTTGTTAGCTGATCTTATTTCTTGATAATATGGAAGCAGAAATAAAGTTAAGCCATCCCTTTGCTTCTTCCCTCCCAATCCGATTGGTGGCTGCCTCTCTTCCAAGTCTGAGGGTGGGAAGTATTGTTAGAAGGTCCTGCTTTCTCTCCATCAAGGCTCATGATGAGTGATGGAAGAAAAGCAATAGAACAATCACATTTCAAATGGAAAACTGGACCATCTGAGCTGTGGGGAGAAGGACAGCTGTCAAACAAAGGGGAAAGAGAAGGAATATGTGTTACACAGGAAGAAAAGGTACCTTTTATGTATGACAGTCTTTGGTATGTGCATGGAAGCTGCAGTGGTGAAAATGATACAGGCAGTCCTCAACTTACAATGTTTCGCACTTACATTGTTTATAAACTGACACCCTGTTTTCATTTTCTGACATCAGTTTCAACTTTACAACTCTTGATCTGAAGTGATGCCATACCAGTGAACAAGTTTGCTGCGTCGCCCATCTCCCTTGAGAACATCTGTCCAAACTTCCTTGGACACGTTCTTTAAGAAAGCAGACAAGACTCCTGAGAAGACTCCAGCCAGGAACCCTTCAAAAAGTCTGCAAAGTCACCTCAAAGAAGTCCTTCCAATCAATATGTTTGCTACTTACAATATAAATACATTAATGTAGCTATCAGGACTCGTAGTAGAGATGATATCTTTTATTAGACCAACTAAATTTTGTAAAAAAATGTTCTTTAATTGGAAGCTTTTGGGCACAAACACCCGTCATCAGGCATTGGAGAAAAGATTGTAAAAGTTCTCCTGGGTAGAAATGAAAGGTATATTACTTATGTAATAACTTACTAACCTGGCTATATTACACAGTCTCAGCGGAGTCACGTGACCTCCTGTGCCCTCACTGTTCATTGCTTATGCTATCTACTAATTTCATTTTCTGTCCCCTAGTTCTTGTATTGTGTGAGAAAGCAAATAATAAATCCTTATTTACTTTTTCTTCACCATTTATTATTGCGTATATCCTTATCATGTCCTCCTGCACAAGTGTCTCTTTTCTAAACTGAATAGGTCGAGCCCAGGAGTCAGCAACTTTTTAGGGCAGAGTGCCAAAAACACCTGAAACCTCAACTTGTTAGATGTTGGTGTGCCAGGGGCAGCGAGCAGGAGAGCTGCAAAGGGCCCGATCCTTCATGTGGAGCCCCCTTCTCCACCGTCCACCCTGAGGCATGTGTGCCAAGCAAAATGCCTTCATGTGCTGTGCTCTGGCACCAGTGCCAGGGGTTGCCTACCCCTGGCCTAGCCTTTTTAGTCTGTCATATGAAAGCCCCTCCATAGCACTAATCCTCCTTGTTGCCCTTCTCTGGACCTTCTCTAGTACTTCAATATTCCTTCTGAGGTGTGAGGACCAGAATTGGGCACAGTATTCAAGGTGTGGCTGCACCATGGATTTATAAAGGGGCATAAAGATACTATCTGTTTTGTTTACTATACCCTTCTTAATAATAACTAACATTTTGTTTGCCTTTTTGATAGCTGCTGAACATTGAACTGATGTTTTTAGCGAACTGTCCACAATGACCCCAGATCTCTTTTCTGTGTGGTAACAGGTAATGTAGAGTCTATCATAGTGTAGGTATAGTTTGGGTTATTTTTGCCCAGGTGCATCAATTTCTACTTATTTGCCGTTTCGTTGCTCATTTGTTCAATCATGCCAGATTCTTCTGTAGTTCCTCACCATCCACCTTGGTGTTTACCACTTTGCTTAATTTGGTGTCATGAACAAATTTTGCCACCTCACTACTCACCCCCTTTTCCAGATCATTTATGAATAGCTTAAATAGCACTGGTCCCAACACAGATTCTCCCCCAGGAGAACCCCACTGTTTACTTCTTCCCATCCTGAAACCTGACCATTTACACTCACTCTTTGCTTTCTTTGAGTCAATTTCTAATCCATGAGTGGACATTCCCTGTAATCCTGTGACTTAGTTAAGAGCCTCTGATGGGGGACCTTGTCAAAAGCTTTTTGGAAGTCCAAATATACTGCCAACTCTATTATCCCAATCCACCTGCTTACTGACATTGTCAAAAAACAAAATAAGTTGGTGAGGCACGATTTCCCTTTGAAAATGCCGTGGTGATTCCTCCCCAGCAAGTCATGTTCATCCATGTGCTGAACAATTCTTTCTGTCATTATTTTTTCTACCAGTCTTCCAGGGACAGTAGGTAGGTTCACTGGCCTGTAGTTCCCTGTGTCCTCTCTGACACCTTTTTTAAATATGGGATTCATGCTGGCAATCCTCCAGTCCTCTGGTACCAAGGTTGTTTTTAGTGGTAAGTTGCGCACAACAGTTAGGAGTTCAGCAACTTCTGATCTGAGCTCCTTCAGGACCCTAGGGAGAATGCCATCAGGTCCTAGTGATTTGCTACTACTTAATTTATCAATATTCTCTATGACCTCAACTTTGGTCATCTCCATTGACTTGTCTACTCAAATTCTTTCTTAGTTTGTCCTTTTACAGTTTTACTTTTGCTTTGCCAGTGTTTATGCTCTTTCTTATTTTCCCCATGAGGATTTGACTTCCACTTTTTGAAAGAAGCCTTTTTTCTGCGTATTGCCTCTGCAACTATGCCAAAAAACCATACTGGCTTTCTTTTGCTCTGCTTTCCATTTCTTTGATTTGCAATATGTATTTACTTTGTGCCTCCAATATGGTGTTCTTATGCAGTTCCCATGCTGCCTGGAAGTGTCTCACTTCTTTAGGGGCCTCTTTTAATTTCCGGCTAAGTAGCTTCCTCATTTTGGTGTAGTCTCTCTTTTTAAAATTAAATGCCACTGTGGGAATTTTCTTGTCTCCCTTCCTACATGGCTGTTAGATCCAGTTGCACTGTGGCCACTTTTGCCAAGCATCTCAGTAATACTTGCCTTTTGCACCAAATCCTGTGCACTACTTAGCATTAGCCCAAAAATGACCTTTTTCCTCTTTTAGGTTCCAGCACTAACTGCTCCAGGAAGCAGTCTTTTATAACATCAAGAAATTTGGTTTCTACATCCTGGCCAGGTGTTAGACTGACCCAGTCTATTTGTCTAGTTGAAGCCCCCCGTTATTACCGCATTTTCTGTTGCAGCAGCTCAACTCTCTTAGCATTTCTAGCTCATTACTGCGGTCTGGGCGTCAGTAATATATCCCTAGATGCACTTTTTTTTTCTATTTAAATCCAGGATTTCTATCCACAAAGATTCTATAGTACTTCTCATATTGGGTGAAAAATCTAACCTATTTGATTTGATGCAGTCCTTGATGTAGAGTGCCACTTCCCTACCAGTATGACCTACTCTATGGTTCCTGTATAATTTGTATCCTAGTATTACAGCATCCCATTGATTTTCCTCACTCCATCATGTTTCAGAGGTATCTTTTATGTCAATATCATGATTTACTGCTAAGCAGTCAAATTCCCCCACCTCTGATCTTAGACTTCTAGCATTAGTATACGATCACGTGTACTTTTTATTGTTGCCTGGCTGGTTACTTGTGTGTCACTTTTTACTCCCTAAAGTTACTAACTTGTGCTTGTCTTCACGCTATTTCTTATCCCTATTGTTTATGGTGTTAACTCTGCAGCATGTGTCAGTCTGAATGCAGTTCTGCACCTGCCGGCTTTCCCCCCATTTTGAGTTTAAAAACTGTTCTACCACCTCTTTAATGTTATTTGCCAGCAGTTTGGTTGGCTCAGATGGAGACCATCCCTTCTGTACCGGCTCCCCTTGTACTAAAAGGTCGCCCAGTTCCCAATAAACCTAAACCCTTCTTCCCTGCACTGTCATCTCAGTCATGCATCGAGTCTCTGGAGCATTGCCTGTCTACCTGGGTCTGCATGTGGCACTGGAAGCATTTCAGAGAATGCTATCATAGTGGTCCTGGACTTCAACCTCCTACCTAGCAGACTAAATTTAGCTTCCAGGACCTACCTGCTACCCTTACCTACATGGACCATGACCACTGGCTCTTCTCCAGCCCTCCCTAGCAGTTTATCTACACATCTTGAGAGGTCTGTTTCCTTTGCACCTGGCAGGCAAATCACCATGCAGTCCTCTTGGAGGTCACAAACCTGGTTATGTGCTTAATAATTGAATCCCCTACTATCAACTCCTGTCTCCTTCTATCCTGTGGGGTTCCCTCCCTTGGAGGAATACCCGTGGTGCAAGAGGATGCTGTAACATTAGCTGGAAGGTCCCATCTAAGAGAGTTTCTCTTCTTCCCAGCTTCATGCCCTCAATCCCTGATGCACTCATCCTCCTCAGCAGCATGGCACTTGCTACAGTGGAGGTGGGACTGCTCTACTATGTCCCTGAAAGCTGCATTTATGAATCTCTCTGCCTCCTGTAGCTGCTCCAGTTCTGCCACCCTAACCTGGAGAGAATGCACTTGCTCTCTCAGAGCCAGTCCTAGCACCAGGTGCGCACATATGGAACTTGCCCCCTGGCAAGTAATCATACATGCTGCACCTGGTGCAATAAACTGGGAAGCCCCTGCCCTGCTGCTGGACTTCTACCTGCATAGTTTTTAAAAGCATTGCACTTAATCGCTCCAATAATATTTCTTTCCTTCCATGTGTGGGACAACGAGGAGGCTAATGATCAGCACGCAGTGATGCAGGGGAGGTGGAAGGGTAAGAAGTGGCACCTGCCTGGGAGAGTCAGGCAGATGAAGGAAGCCCAGCAGATGTCCGGGATAGTTTGAGAGTTGCTGAAGTGGGACACTGGGAGGATTGTGCTGGAGTAAATGGGAAGAGCTGATGTTATTGTGCCAAGGGAAGCAAGCAAGATGGGTAATCTTCAATGCTGACACTAGGGTAGGCCTGGTGCACTCTTCTCCTTAGGTAGTTATCCCCTAATGTCTGCTACGTGTGTGACACTCAGGTTTGTAGGGACTTGTTTCCTCTCCACTAATTTCTCCAGTTCCAATGGTTTTTCAGGCAAATTGCAAACAGCAAGTTTTAGGGCAGTGGTATCTAACCTTTTTAGATTTGAGGCACCCCTCATTAGACTCAAGGCATCTATTAAAAAAACTTATTCTAGTGCTTGCCTCCTTGCAGGGGCGGGGATGGACAGTGGGACAGGGGAACAGCTAGGCAGGGACTGAGCCTAAGCCTGTGCTTTATCTCCTCGCACCTCAGGGCACCCTTCAAAAGATCTTGCAGCACCTCTAAGGGCCCTGGCACCTTGGTTGAGAATCACTGGTTTAGGCCAGTGGTGCCCAACCTTTTCACTCTGTGTCTCAGATGCGCGGTGCTAGGTTCTTCTGTGGCCTGGATCCAGCTGATGGGCCTGATCCAGCTGCAAGGCCCCAACCTTGTTCTAGATGCCTGGGGGCAGGCAGAAGCAGCCCTAATCTGGATGCCTCGGGTGGAACAGCCCCAATCCTGACATGGAGCTGGGGTGTGGGGAGCATCTCGGTCCTCCTACTGATGCCCAGGGTTGGGGTGGGATGAGGCAGGCCAGGGCAGGGAAGGGCAGCCCTGATTTGGACACATGGGAGAGTGGAAGAGGGAGTGGCTCCCATCTGGACAAAGCAGCCGGGCTCCAATCTGTGTGTGTGTTTTGGGGGGGAGGCAGTAGAAGGAGCAGCTGGCTAGATCCAGATATGAAAGTGGGGGTGGGGGTTAAGGCATATCCCTGATCCCCCTTTGCTGCAACAACCCCTGCCAAGTTAGACCCAGCTGCATGCAGCTGCCCCCTCTGCTAAGCTTTCCCACCTGCAGGGGACCCCGCGGGCCAGAGGGTTGGGTGCTCCCGGCTACATGGGGCCTGCTGGGTGGTAGCAAGAACCGGGGTGGGGAGGGGAGGGGCAAAGGCAAGTAGGGACAGACGTCCCCAGGAACAGGTGCTCCATCCCCAGCCTCACCCGGCCCGACGAGGCTCGCACCCAGCATCTCCTCAAGAGCACCCCGTCCCTCCCCCCAGCCACGCACCACCCAGCTCCTCTCGCGAGATCTCAGGCCCCGCAGCACCCGGCAACTTTTCAAACGCGGCCGGCGGAGGAGGCGTCACCCCCCGCACCCCCCCGGCCCTGGGGCGGCCTGCGGGCCCCGCCCCT